AAAAAAAAAGTAATGCAGTGAAAACCAAAATGTAAGGTAAAGTGATTCCAGTATGTTTTAGATTCATTTTAAGAGTTTTAAGCATTTTTTGACGCAACAAACATCTTAAAGAGAAAAAACTGATGTTTTTTGGTCAAACCATCCTTGTTTATCTGTTTATAATGTCAGCAGTGTCAGACAGGAGCTCAGCTGTAGAGGCTGGTTATAGTTATTAACGTCTTTATACAAGCAAGATTATGAGCCTACATCCACAGTAGCAGCTCTGTGAATATGTACCATGGCGCTGCTGTGTCACTATGACAATGTTAGTACGCTGATGTTTTACATGTATATTGCTGTGTTCACCATCTTAGTTACAATGTCAGCATGCTATAGGGCTGTCACTTTTTTATTCAAAATGCGATCATTCGTTGGAGAAAAGTTCATTTTAAAACTGTAATGGCCTGTTTGAATTCGAAATGTACAGTCTGTGAGTAAAACAGACCATTTATTTACAGTCTATTAGCACAATAGACAATTTCTAATCATGCATTGATCCAGTTCATCATAACACCTCTAATTATTATAGCACAAATACAATGATCTCTAGGGCTGCCCCCCGACTAAGAACTTTCCTGCAATCTTTGCAAAATCATCACATCTCAGTTTAGCTATGACGAGTAAAGGTGTGTGTCTTTAAAATTTGTATTTTCTTTTGTTCTAGGTCAATTTCCAACCTTCCAGGCAGCCAGACATAAGTTAAAGCCTGTACACTATAAAGATAAAGGTAGCATACCATAACATGACTTAGTCATACCAAAAAAAAACCAAAAAACATTGGGCCACAGGGGGAGCCACAGCGATCGGTCGCATTTTAGCCACTTTTATGCATTTTTTGTTGTTATAGCGCCACCCAGTTGCCAATTAGAGTTAAATTTCTCCAGTCATCTTGAGGCGTCCTGTTCTACATATCTACCAAGTTTAGTAAAAATCGATATGGCGGATAGGCTAAGATAATAAATTAGCTCTGTAGCGCCCCCATTTTGTTTGATGGGGTCAATAATGGAGGGGTCCCCTCAGATTATGTGTGGTCATATGCCTACAAAGTTGCGTGGTGATCGGTGAACCCCTTGAGATGTTACACACCTTTATGTGATGAGCCACGCCCTCCGCAATATTCATTGTCTTATAGAAGCTCAGTTTTAGTAAGTTTTCCAACTTTTGCCATGTCATGAAGAAGAAGAGTTCTCTGTTACTTCGAACAACAACGCTCTCATTTTACTGTAGAGCGTCAGATTGGATTTACAAACGTACCCATTACCTGCTAAACAGGGGTGTAAACATAGACAGTGCAGGCAGGGCGGTTGCTGGGGCCCATGGGGTGAGGGGTTCCATAGAGAGAGTGGGCCCTCCAACTAAATGTCAGGCAGAAAACAGGCCCTTGTGAGTTATTTAGATCGCTATCTTAGAAATATGCCTGTGTTCAAAGAAAAGCTCGAAAAGACAAACCTATCTCCTTTATGTTTATCTATTCCCTTTTTGTAGTGTAGTGAGTAGCAATCTACAATAAAATAAGTTATAAAATACAGTCTACTCCCCATAAACTATGAATAAACTATAAAAACTATACAATTAAATGAAAGCTTCCTTATTTCCGTTGGTATTTTTTGTCATATATGATGATTTTTGGGTAATATGTATGTTGGTATTGTCCACTGTCAAGTCTCGATTTGATCATGTGATGATAAGATTATATGCTAACTTTAGGCGCATAATAAGTAACTATTGTGCCTTAGGGCCCCTCATGATTAGCATGCACTAGGACCTCTAGTAACTACCTTACGCCACTGCTGCTAAACATTAACGTGTTAGTATTGACATTATGAGCATGTTAGCATGCTGACCCAGGAGTTTAGCTCAAAGCACAGCTGTGCCTAAATACAGCCTCACAGAGCTGCTAGCTGGCAGTAGACTTTTGCTCAGTTCAGTCTTATTTGAATGTTTACATGGCCCTGAAATCATGCAAAATGCCATGGGCTGGTGGCAGGGTGGTGGTGTCTGGACACGCAAATCTGATCTGATCACTTCCACATAACAGTGTGGACAGTCTGTCTTATAGAATCTGATTTACCTGCAGTGTGAACACAGCCTTATTATATACCCCTCATACTATTAACTAACTAATACTAATACTAATATTCAGGCTACTGGTTCAGATTATGCTGTGCTGTAAAAAAAAAGAAAGAAGTGTTTTCAGTTAGAATTTAATTTTATGTATTATTGTCTTTCTGTTGAAAACTAAAAAATGCAGGTTCTCCAGCCTGACTTTGTGTAATATATTATCATGTGTTACCAGTGCTGCTGTCTGAGCCTTTGGCTCTCAGTCTAAAGTTTCCGTTTGTTAACTGGATGCGGAAACACCTGTTGTGGTAAAGATAGTTTCCTCTGTTACATAAATATCAACCGATAAGGATGTTAATAACCACAAGTCCAACATGTACACACATTTTCATTTGTTTCCTGCAGTATTAAGTCTGGAACTGTATTTGACTTTAAAACTATGTTTGTATGTATAGGAGTACATTTAAAGTAATGGGAAGTAAATAGTTAATGTAATAATTAAATATTTATTGGATCTTTAATTTGTGACTACTGGTTTACATTTAAACATACAATAGTAGTCACAATGGGTCACACACCGGGAGTTTCGCGGCTCCCGGCTGCATCCGCCTCCCTCACTGAACCAATTTTAGAATGAGTCGTACCTATGAATCATACGCACACATACACATGGGGAAATAGAGCCCAGGTTGAAAAATACCGAAGTTATCCTTTAAGCTTCAGAGACGACAAAGGTCTGACCACCACTTTGGTCAAGGCTGTTAAAAACTGAATTTAAATCTGACAGATAAAGGATGAAATGTTGTAAAGTACACTCTACAGTAAAACCCTGAACATATTACATCAACCTAATGTGAGTGAAAAACATTATATTGTCTTCCAGTGTGTGAAATATGTTATCTCTGTGTGACAAAAAAGAGCTTTTCTTAGGTTTTAAAGATTAAACTGAAAACAAAACAAAACCCTTCCACTATTCCATTGTATATCACCTTCTTTAGTGTCTAATACATTTAGGAAATGGCCTGGTTTTGTAAATATTAGTGACTCTGGGCCTCAATTCAGCTCAGGACAGGTTTTTGTATTACCACATATCACTGTGGCCACCCCCCAGGTACACATTGGCACATGCTCATACAAAAACCTTTGCCTGATATGTTGCGTGGTCAGTATTTTGTACTCTTCCTTCTCAGAATTTACTACATTCAGTACCTTTTTACCGTAAAATGTTAAAATCATTAAATAAAATTGCACTTTACTCCCTTATATTTTTAAGTTCAAGTTGAAGTTTTGTGAAATTTTACATTCTTTTCTGCGAATAAAGGAAACTTATGTAAGCAAAATAAGGAAAGAAAAATATTACTTATAAGCTAATGATGTCTTAACTCAACCCTCTGTGCAAGACCACATTGTATTGTCAATGTTTAAAATATACTTTGCAGGACTCACACAGAAGCAATCCCTCTTAAACGTCAATTATGACCCTTGAGAAATGTGCGGCAGTGTAT